TTCATCTTTTGCATCTAAAGATTGAATTTTGACTGCTTTACAAAAATTCTCATCTTTAAAAGTCCCTTGAAGAATAAAAGGTGGATCAGCAACAAATTTTGACAATGCTTTAGGGAATAACTTTCGTAATTCTTGTTTTGCAATGTAATATGTTTGTGAACCAAAAACTCCTAAAGAGTTATCACAAAGCGGTAATAAACGTAAACCATTAAGTTGCTTATAGAGTTGCAAGCGATCTGAAGTTTCACCTTGAGTAATGAAATTTAACAATTGAAATGCTATTTCATGTGACTTTTCGTTTTCATTGTTCAGAATATTTGATTTAGACTTAAGTAAAGAACAGACTACTTTTGGAGTGATGAACTTAACAGATGAGCCTTGCATTTTTCCAATCATTTCAATAATGTGATTCATATTTTCTTCAGGTAATTTGACTACTTCTATTTCGTGATTTACAAGTATATTTGCAATAACCGAATTATTTGAAGTCGCAAAATATGCCTTTTGGAACGTAATAAGTGCACCACCATTCGCTTCAGTCCAAAAAACTTTACTTTTGTCACGATATAATTTCCTAAGCACATTAAACCCATATTCTCGGTATATATCCGAAATTGAAGACTTTATTGGCCACAATCGTGAAAATATTTGATCATTAAAAGATGACGTCAATTGATTAGCCACATGCTCTAAAATCTTAGAATGTAGTGGAGGTAAAACATCCAACAATATATATCTATTCCATTCTCCTTCTTTTGTTTCGGCTGTTAATAGATCACTATCAGCTTGTAAAACATTCTTTCGATCACTGGATAAACAAAATGACCCATTGATGTGAACACCAAGAGATGTAAACAACGGAAGTGAAAGATACGAATAAACCTTTCCATTGAGTGCTGGAACATTGGAAAACTAATGTAGAGTATTGTATAGAATGTTAATAAGGGATCATAAGTCATTACGCATCAATCTAATTCAGCTGTATATTACCTTTTCAGCTTTAAGCTCTTCCAATGATTTACCATCTCCCATAGACAACAGCACAGCAACACCGCCTCTTGCCTTAAAATAATAATTGATTAATTATTTAATTAATATAAATTTATCATTATTTAAATGATGACGACTTACCAAAAGGTTAACCTCTTTAGAAATCTCTCTGAATCTGGATTTGTCTACTACATTATCCCCACCATTACATATTTGCCAAATTTCTGAACATTTATTTTTATTGTATCGATTTTGCTTATAGCACATTTCCATTTCGAGTTGATAAAGTTTTGCTTCCCATGATTGAGAAATACGAATTTTACGAATATCATCATTCATATTCTTAATCTTTGTCTCCCAAACTAACTCGGGCTCGGGATTGCCTATTGTATTCTTATTCATTTGAAATAAACTACATTCTTCAATATTTCTTAAAAATAACAACTCACGACATCCTTGTATATTATCAAAAATTTTGGTTTTAAGATTCTCTGGTTTTATTGTTTGAGTTGATAATTCACTTGGAAGTGTTCGTAAAGGTAATCTAAATAAGGTTCCATTAAATTTCTCTTTAAATTCACAACCAAAAATTTTATCATATGTGGATGCTTGATCTTCAAATCTTTTCTTGAAATCTTTTTCAATGAAATTAATTTTTGTTCCACGAGGATTACGAGGTGGATTTCCGGTTTTTGGCAAGAATTTCTCTAGTGGATCAAAAAAAACTATATGCTCTCCGCTAACCTTTATTTTAAAAATAAAATTAAAAAATAAATTAGCCTATAATTTAAAGATTTAAAAGTTACACATTTAATGTAGTAAAAGGTTATTACAAAGCTCGGTAGATCAGTCAAATGATAAGCACAATTGAATCCAATTCCAAATCTTCCTATTTTTGTTTTATCATCCCTCTTTCCTCCCATTCCAAGCTTTTTTAAAGATTCAAAATCATGCTGAGTAAATTCAGCATCATTATATATCCATAGAGCAGGTCCTTGCCATTGATTCATTTCATCGGATAATAATGAATTCTGTTTATCTGCATTTTTGCAGAGCAAACCAAACCAATTATTAAATTTTCTATGATCTCTTTCATCAATAACAAAGCAAATTTTTCTTGCACCCGCATCGTCAGCATTCTATAAACATAACAAACAGATTTTAAATTATATAGTTATAAACATTAGTCATTATAAATAAAAAAGCCTTATTTTTTTTCATACCTGTAGGAATTCGGTAAATATTGATCCGACTGAATAGTCCTAAAATTATTAAAAAGTAATATGGTTAAATTGTGAACCATTAATTGCATTATGATAACGCATCATGATTATATAT